GGTAAAAGACTGAAAATTCCCAAAATCCGGATTTCTAGATTTCTTAAAAAAAGAAGCAAAAAACACAAAAACAATGATGTCAGGTGAGATAAATTTTATTGATCCTCCAATAAAAGTAACAGAATCTTTGCACTTTCACAGGCTTCTGAAACACACTATATGATGGGTATGTGGCCTTCAGCAAACTTAATTACGCTTGAGGACACAATCAGGGATGCCACTGGAATTTTGTGAAAATAACGGAAAATTTATGAAGTTGTATATGTGAACAAAAAGACACCCAGACAGTTAACTGCCATAGCTAAATAGAAAAAAAAGACCCAAAAAAAAACTGTTTTGAAAACAAATTTCAGTGAAAAACAGAACATAACAGAAAAAAACAGCATCCCAGTCACTTTTTTCTTCTCTTTAAAACTCTTGCTCACTTTTCTGTCCCCGTGGTTTTATGCACCCGGCATAATTTAGCAAAATTTGATCATTTTTTGCATAATTTCTGATTATTTTCCTTTATCATTCTTTGTTAAAATTAACAGAATTGCATAATTTCACAGTTTTGGGCTCAGTTTGCATAATTTCAGAATTTTTCTTGCATAAAACGACGGGGACAGACTTTTATTGTCAGCCATGGCACAAAGTAAACACTGACACACACAGAGCACAGCTAAGGAAGAAAATGACCAAAGATACTTTGTACCGCCATATATGCAAAAATAATTTTTTATGAAGAAGATTCCTCCGCGTTACAACCAAAGAAAATAACATCCCCATTTTTAATTCTTTTATTTGAATTAGAGAAACACCCTTAACTAGGAAACCTGGTTAATCCGAAAAGAATCCTGCGGTCCCCCAGATTTCTGTTTCAGTGGGCTCCACTGCAGTGCTAGCTCTGATTAAAATATCTCCCAAGACAGTAAACACGACATTTCCTTTAAAATCAATTTCACATATCGGTAAGCAGGAACAGATTGTGATAACAGCAACAATAAAAAAACCCTAGAAAGACAGACCACACCAATCACTGCCGACCCACACAAATGATGTTAGCACAATTAAAAAAGCAGCCACATGTATTAATAGTATTATATCTGTGTTGTCTCCAATATCTCTGCCTTCTTGTCTTCTTGTTCCAATGTAACATATTGTCATGTGATTATGTAGCTTTTTCCTCGCAAAGTCAAACTCAAAATAACATTTGACTCACAAATAAAACAAAGACGCATTGTAAAGATGATGTTAAAGAGTGAGAAACCATTTTGTATATTAAACAATAAAGTGAACAATCGAAACTTACACCGGTAAAAATTTACAAACTTTAAGTAACATAATAATAACAAATGTGTGGTGTGCTGACAAAATGAGCTACTTCTCGGATTTGAGCCCTGTGGTTTAATAGATACATCACGGTTATGGGTGAAGTTTATACAATTTGTAAGTAGGAAATAATAAAAGGCATGTTATACTTATTAAAGAATCTGGCATCAACAGAAAATCGACAAATTTGACCCTAGTGTTGATTTTTGGCCAATAACTCCATTTGTGGATTGCGAGAAGTAACTCATTTTGTCAGCACGCCTCACAAATTGTTAGCCAGCTGTTCAGATGTACTACGCCCAAATTTGTAAAATATTACAAAAATTACAGTTTCTTAACTCTAATCTCCGGCAAGCCACTCCCAGTGGCTCGCGGTCGGAACTACTGTGCAGGTGAGTTGCTGGAGCAGCACAGAAACATTCCTTTATGATGACTTCGATATCAAATTACTTTTCGGCAATTGCCTAAAACAGCCTGTCTCTTTTATCAGGATTTCATTTGTTAGATGAAGAACAATCAAAACAGGTTTAATTACCAATTTAGGGACGTTTTCGTCATTTTTACATTTAGTACAAAAAAATATAAAGATAAAGAGTTAATCTGAAGTATCCGTAGCATGAGCTCGAGAAACATTTTGTTGAAATTCTAATTTTAAATGTTGAAAAAATTGCAAGAAAAGATACATAATGTAGGTACAATTATAAAAGAATGAAACACTTTTCTCTCTCTGTGTGAAAAAGTTGGCTTTCTTGGCTAAGAACAGTTGAACAGCTTGCCCACAAAATAAAACGAGCAGAAACGTAAGTTTCCTGTATGACAACAAAGAAATCTGTATAGGAGCAGTTCACGATAAAAAGATGTCAAAATTCTCAAACAGCCCTTACAGTAAGACAGAAACAAGGCCGTCAGAGCAGCATTTAGAAAACATTCTTTAACAACATCAACAGATGTAAGTAACTGGGTGACTAATGGCAGCAAATACAACAATGTATCTTTAAAAAGTAACAGCAACTCATAGAAAAAATTGTTTCTTTAAAAATAAACCCCAGGAAGGAACAATTTTTTTTTTTGGACCCAAAAATTCCCCCCCCCAAAATAATACATGTTCACACACTCTTACTACAAAAATAGACATCCACATTACAAAATAATTTTCATATACACATGCATTCAAGTTTTTGTTTAAAGCACTCTCAACCTCACCTTAAAGCTACATACAAGATTAAATATCAATTAAATAATATTATCTTTTAAAAGTATAAACTTCTAATGTCACAGACCGTCTGTTCTTCAAAAATCTAAAATATATTTCAGTTACTTTTAAACTGTGAGAAACAGTTCCTAGCGAGAAATAGAAAGATATGCTTTTCCTTTTGTTTCATGATGACCAACATCAGTTTTTATTTTGGACAGGGGAAATTATCAAAAGGAAAAAATAATAGAGGTACAGTCAAACCTCGTGATACCACCACCCTTGGGCCGAGCATAAAACTGACGAAACAGCGGGGCTTGCGGTTCAATGAGGCTCTTGTTATAATAAATAGATCTGACTGCCAAACGTCAAGGAACATGACTCTGCTGTGCGATCTGTGCTTGAAAAGTTTTGGTGATATAGGCCTACATGTATATATGTACATGTATTCAGAGCAGAGAGTCTTTCCCTCTCTCTAATATCTCTAGGCTATATTTTTCTCGTGGGAGGAAGATTATCAAGCAGCCAACCAATGGGTGCTGTACGCCACGTGCAGTGTGTACCTCTGGTGGTCAATTCGCTGACGGTACAGCAGGGAGAATTTACTTTGTTTTTTGTTTTCGTAGAGGTTTTACGGCGCTTTTAGTTTTAGTAAGTGTTCTACGGCACTTGCAACACAATAACGTCATTTAAGTGCCGAAGACTAGAGGTGTTACAAGAGAGTAACAAACGCAAAAAAGAAGGAGGGGATATAAAGACGATAGACGTTTGACAGGAAAGAAGAAGCAAACCCCACCAGACCACCCACCAACCACCCATTTTACGGCGCTCGCAAATGTATAAGGCCATATGAGCGTCAAGGGGTGGATGTCAACAGAGAAGTCCTTGCAGGGAATCAGACTTACTCTGCTCACCTCTCTAGCTTCAACAGCACAAAATCTGCTTCGACTATCAAGGCACCACGGAAATAGCAGGTCACAAGAGTGTGACAAACATACAAAGAAAGTAGAGGAAAAATGACGATAGTAAGCATTAGGAAAGAAAAAGCAGCAGTTCCCTGTTGCAGTTCAGGCACAGTTATGAGCATGACATTGATGAATCAGCCAATTTACAATTACAATTCTACAGTGGTTAAGAACATGGTCAATGTCCCCCCGCTGGGAATGGCCTAAAGACACTTCAGTCAGAAGAACCACCGGGGGGGGGGGGGGGGTTTGAGAATTTACTTTGGTAAGATAAGGACGGTACAACTCAGACAGTTGGCAGATGGAGGTGTAACGGCATAAATGCAGTGTTTATACAGGTGTTCCTTTTCGAACATTGGCAAAACCTGGCGGTACAATGAGGTTTGACTGTGTATTACATTCATTTGCAATCATCATAAAAATTAACACATAGCACACACACTTTTAATAGTGTAAAATAAGACAGGTTTAAGGCATCAACTAAAGATGGTGACTACTTGACTCTAGAAAGAAAAAAAATATCTTAGCTCTACCTTTCAGTCAGGGTACCGGTACTTATTATCATAATGAAAAGTAATTCGGTTTAGCGCAGACATGACAAGCATTAAAATAGTTCCAGTATCCTTTAAATGGACAGCTCCGTGTTAGATTCCATCTCACAACACGATATCATTTAAAATGGTGAATAATAATGGACATTTTGAAAAAACTTGCAATCACTGAGCCATCTAACTACAAACAAACAAATTATGCCAGTCCTGGTGTTTCAAACGACAAAGCGATTTAAACATATCATTGTAGGTGTCATAACCAAGCCACTGAAGTCCGTTTGAGTACTTTTAAAAATGTCAGAGACAAAAAAACCCCTAGGTTTTGTTGTTTTGTTTCTATCAGGAATCATGAAAAACATGAAAATTATAAGTTTTGACCTCAGCATTAAAGTATATTTTGTTGATGTTGAAAGGTGTTTCTTTGATACAGCTTTGAGAGGGTGTAAAAAATTGAAAATTCTCAAAATTTGGACAAAAGTGGACTGCTTACGACAACGACGATTTAAAGTCTAAACATCCCAAAACGGGCAGGCGTTAATGGGGAAAAATGTTCTCCATGATTCATAAACTCTCATCCTCTCTCTCTTTTCATTCAACTCATTGTCATAGAACAGAGGACACAACTTATATCAATGTGCTTTTGCCATTCATAACAGAACACTTGTAGTCAGATATCAATAAACATAGCTATTCTGGAAGTGATACTACCGGAATAAATTAAGCTGAAAAATAGTCAAAATCTTTCTGAACAGAGGGGAATATTCTGATAAGACTGGGTAAAGAAAAACTTTAGATGATTCTTGAAGAAACAACCACAAAACTATAAGACCCATTCCATGAAAAATGAAACTAGAAGCGATAGAGCCATTCTTTTTTTTTCTTCTTTCCAGGAGGGGTGAGGGTGAGGGGGGTGGTGTTGCTGTTCAAAAGCAACCTAACAAAATCAAAACAAACTCCCCTCTCAACCACAACTTAGAATTATTTTTTTTTCAGTAGGCCATCATACCCATATTACATGTGTCACTGCAGTTTCATTTTCATGGAATGGCCTATAACCTATCTTACTTGAGCTGTGTCTGCACAGCCAAATATCAAGATAAGAACTGCAAGTATCACAAGGACACGCAGGATGTCAAGGGAAATGAAACAGCAGATAGGCTAGCAGGCTCCCCAAACATAGAGGGAGTGCTTACCCTTGATCCTTCTACTGTAATAGACCTTGTCAGAGATCACACTGCCAGCAGGCGTGAAGAGGACTCCTTCACGAAGGAGATTGTGATTGAGAAAGGAGAGTACAACCTGGTGAAGGCAGGAGGAGCAGGCTGGGTGACCCCATCAGACGCTACAACAACCAGCTGATGATGGAGACAATCAGCCTGCCCACACAGAAATGGACCCTTATGAAGAGGGGCGAGGAAGCATGGAGCACCCCGTCTTCTTAAGACTCCAGTTCTACATTCGAGTATTCAAGTATCACAGGGTAAAGCCAAGCTGTTATACCTATAAACAGCTCACTAGTAGGACATTAACTCCCTAGTGGTAAACCAGAAAGTCATGCCATTGTTTCTGGCCGCATGAGACAATTTATCTACAATACAGGGTTGCCAGCAGCCTTGACAAAAATGCCTGAAAGTTTTTTGGTATAAAATTCTATGTGCGGCCCGCAGCATTTCATTAAAAACAGATAAGATTTTAACATGTGCCAAAATATTTAATGCATAGGCCTAGGCCTATTAGAAAAACCTAAATTTAATATTAAAAAAATAGAACTCACCAATAACTGCACATTGATGTGTGTAATGGATTGGGGAAAGTCTTAATGTAAAGAAATTACTTCCCGGCTCCGCTGATCTCGGCTGGAAAAGCCTCGAGATTTAAAAAACCTAGATTTTTGCCTTTAGCCGGAAAACGGGCAACCCTGAAAATATGTCACGACATGATGGAATCAGGCATTCATCAATTTTTGGGCACGTGGAGTTATCTGTATCATCTTAAAGCTTGTTCATTTGTTTCGCTTTAAAGGAAAAAGATCCATTTTGAATAGAAATAAAAATATTTGCGATTGAATGAGGTGGGGGTCGCCTGGTTTCAGAGATGAAATTAGTGAGAAAATGGCTGCCAAAGCTAGCCCGAGGCTCCTTGGTAACTGAAAACTTACAATTTTTGTGCTTTTAATTAACCTTTTTCCGTAAGATTCCTACAGAAATGTGTTTTAAAGGGACGAAAAAGGCTTCGAGCCAAAAAACCAAAAATTTGATAAAAATTTTCATACCAGCGGGAAAATGACAGTTTCTTCTATTTCATTATTTTGACGAGGGCCTGATTTCACCATGATGCCTTAAAAATGTATTCCAGCTGTTTCGCCTCGCAAAAGCTTATCATCACAGGTTTACAAACAAAAGTAACAGTACGGGTTAGGAAACGAGGAGCAGCACAGCGTGGTCTCTCTTATACACCCCCACTGTTTTTCCAAGGAAATGTTTATAATAAAACAAAACTGACCATTTTTTCCCCATAAAAATTACCGATCTTAATGGAACTATAAAATACCATGGAATAATTGACAGAACAATTGAAAGCTTAGAGCTAGGCAGAAGGTATGAGATTTGCTATTTCGCTAGTGCAGTGACAATAAATTAATGTCATATGAAGGGGGCGAGGTATTCCATTAGTGTTACGGATTTTTAACAAAAGTGGCTTGAAAGAAAATTCTTGTTCTTTTATTGCCAGTCTGTGCTTTATAGCTTGAAAAAAAAATGAGTAAAAGAAATTTATGGGAAATTCACATTTTTGATTGAGACTTTAACAAGATTAAACCATCAATCTTTACATCTTGATAAATGTGATCACATATTGAGCTTATATAATACCTAACTAATTACAATCTCGTTTTAATTTTTACTACACTTTTTTTGCAAACTTTCATCAATTTCGTCCAGCTTCTTGATCAGCTCTTGGCCTTCATCTACGCCTATACTCATCTGAGAAAAAAATCCAAAAGAAACCAGTTGATTATTTTGTACAACCAAACAGTTCAAGCGTAGACATAAATTCAAACTGATCAAACGGCAGTGACAGAAGCAATGAGAACCGATACAATCACAAAGTATTCACTTCCAAAAGAGATAGGGCATAATGCCAGTAGTGCTGTTGGCATAATTCCCACATGAACACAATTCTTTTCGTGACATTGTTAAAAAAACCCTGTATTGAACATGAGACCAAGAAAAGTTGATAATGCAAATAGTTCAAAAATCTGTAGCCTTTTGCGTCTTCAAAGATGATCTCAATGCAATTCCATGATACTGCTTTGTCTGGGCAGTAGGCATATAGAAATAGTACTGCCCAAGTACTACTTCCATCCTTTCAAATCTTCACTTCCTTGATATGCTTCTATAGAGAAACATGGTCAATATATTTGAAATCAAGGAAGGCGCAAGGGTACGTTTACTATTTCACAGGTGTGAAGCGGATATTTTTATGAGAGGGAATTTTTAAAATTCTAAATTTTGCCAGAGTGGTTGTCTAACGGCCTACTCTTCTATGATTTTCAACCACCAAGGGAACTTTAATGTGCACAACATGCACACCGGATCTCTGAGATTATTCGTCCCTATCCAAGAAGAGTAGGTGCTTATCTAATCTTACCTACCTTAAAATCAGGGAGGTGGAGGAAGAATGAGATTGAGTGCATGATTGAACGAAAGAAGGTTTTTATTTTAACCGAGAAGGAGAGAAAATTAAATGAAGAAGAGGAAGAGGAAGCAGAATCAGGAGAAGAAGAAGAAGAGAAAATTGGACATGCCGGCATGGACTGCATTAGAACACAGTACTTTTGACATGAGAGGTGAGCACCATACCTCTGTGCTACATTTTCCCAAGAAACCAGTACATCGTTTTAGTTTTAATTTTAGTAGAAGCTTTAGGGCGCTCGCAACTGCATAAGGTCATATGAGCACCAGAAGATTAGATATGTTACAAGAGAGTAACAAATACAAAAAAGAAGGAGGGGAGATAAAGACGATAGATGTTTGATTGGAAAGAAGAAGTAAACCACACTAGAGCACCCGCCAACCACCCACAGTCACATCGTTAAAACAGGAAGAACACTATGGAAAAGCAGAAGAAGTGCACCTTCCTTACTCACCTTCTCTTGGTTCACATAGGAATGACCAGTCACCCCGCAGAAGCTTTGGTATTTGACCTGTGGGTCAAGGCTTACCGGATCCTGAGTCGACAACCACACCTGAAATAGACAGACAGACAGACAGACAGGCAGCTTGAATGAGCTCGTTTGAGTACAGAGAAGTACATCAACACAACAATGTTCATTAAAAAAATTTTTTTTTTAATGATGTTTTATTGATCCCTGTAGAGAAGTTTGAGTTACAAAGGCAAAAATACATACATAAACACATAATTAGAAACACTTATATTCATAAAGACATAACTATATACATAAATACACAACATTACACCAGTACAGAAGTTTCACAAACATGCCATGGCTCGTTGCCACTGTGCAGGGCCCCATTTTTTTAGTTTAGTTTTTGTAGAGGTTTTACGGCACTCGCAACTGTATAAGGTCATATGAGCGCCAGAAGATTAGAGGTGTTACAAGAGAGTAACAAACATAACAAAGAAGAAGGGGAGATAAGGACGATAGATGTTTGATAGGAAAGAAGGAGCAAACCACACCAGAGCGCCCGCCAACCACCCACCCCTATTTTTTGTCTTTGAGGGAAAAAGAGAAACAGACAGACAAGACACTGGATGAGAGCAACACTAGAAAGACACAACAGAGGCAAGGTAAATAAGTGGTGACCCACACAGCTTGAATGAAACATTTTTTTGCGTTAGTAAATGTTTTACGGCACTTGCAACATAATAAGGTCATATAAGGGCCGAAGATTAGAGGAGTTGCAAAAGAGTAACAAACACGAAAAAGAAGGAGGAGAGATAAAAACGGTAGATGTTAGATAGGAAAGAAGAAGCAAACCACACCACAGCACCTGCCAACCACTCACTTGAATGAAACAAATCTCTCATACTCTTATTGGGCTGTCCCGCAAATTCCAGCACAAAACCATCACATTTCCCTTAGAAGAAACTAGGACGATAACAGTAAACAGAAAGAGAAGAAACAGACCACTCACAAAATATACCAACCATTGGAGTGTTCAATTATAGGAAGAGCTTTACAGCACTTGCAACACAATAAGGTCATATAAGTGCCGAAGGTTAGGGGTGTTACAAGAAAGTAACAAACACAAAAAAAGGAGAAGAGATCAGGATGACAGGTCAGATGTTTGATGGGAAAGAAGGAGCAAACCACACCAGAGTACCTGCCAACCACCCATCCACTGGAGTGTAGCAGGAACGGGACTGCGTCGTTGAATCTTGAATATGAGTGAGGTGTGTTTTCGTGTCTGTGTGCCAGTTTCATGAGTTTCTCCCACTTTCTTTGCTTAAAAAAGACTTAAAGCCTCTTATATTCACGAAAACTTGCAGCAAGTTTCTTCACACATACATGATAACTTATGACGAAGACATGCTGCTACTTTATCTTAACTCTTAGTGTAAAGCGTGCCCATCTTCGAAACCCCAGCAGATCCACCTTATCTATTTATAATCAAGCTGTAGGTTTATTGGAATGCAGCATTCATTACTACTCAGAGTTTGGTGTTTATTTTATTTTATGCACAAAAGTTTAATAGGTGTGGAGTTATAGATAGGGAAGTTTGTGATAATGAAAAATTTGATGACAAAATTTGACTGCACATTAATTTTCACTATGAGTTCGACAGCACTCACAACACAATATTATTAGGTCATACATATAAGTGCCAAAGTTTAGAGGTGTTGCTACATACTAGCATACAACTAAAAAAGGAGGAGAGGTACGTAAGATAGCTGTTTGATAGAAAAGAAGGAGAAAACCATACCAGAGGACAGGCCAAGAAGGAGATTAAGTGCAGTTAGCTGAAATGGCTTTAGTTTTGTAAGAGTTTTATTGCATTTGCAACACAATAAGGTCATATAAGTGCCAAAGATTAGAGGTGTTACAAGAGAAGAACAAAAAAACAAAACAAAATCAAAACAAAAAAACAACCAAAAAAAAAAAAAAAAAAAAGGGAAGGAAAAATAAAGATGAAAGATGTTTGATAGGAAAAAAAAAGCAAACTACATCAGAGCTCCTGTCAACCACCCACAAGATGAAAAGAAAGAGAAGAGATAAAAATGATAGATATTTGATAGAAGAGAAGAAGCAAACCACACCAATCACCCACTGAGAAGGTCTGCAGTATATTGTGTGGTAACTTGAAAGCAAGACTCAGAACTGAGAACCTCAGGCAAAACAACTTAGGGATGTCAATAGGGGATGTGCTTAGCAGCCTGAAGCCACAAGTATCAAAGTGACAAAGTGAAAGTGTTAGCACTATCAGACCGATCCAGATTGTTCTTATCGAACCAGGGCCCTATCAGAGGGATGATAAAGTTTACAGGAAATGTGTTTCATAAAGGTCAGGTCAGCAGGTCAATGGGTTTAGGTTACCGGGTTGATAAAGGCACAACAGTCTCCACGACACTCTAAAGTCATTGATATCGACACATCGAGAGGAAATATCCATGCAAAGACGGGAATAATTTTTCAAAACTCAAAAGTGAAATAAAAAGAATAAACACATTTGAAGAAGGCACGTCGTCTTAAAAGGCCATGATGACTTACACATAATTTAAATTTAAATTGACTTGGGATTCCTGTGCACTATTGTTGAAAGGTGTTTGTTGGATGGTGCACCCGTATCCCTGTAACACAGGAAGGCATTGAACAGCAAGACGAACGCCTAGGTGTTGTTGGATCCATAACAAGAACAAGAACAAGAACCACAAGAACAACAACAACAACATGTCAGTACAACATGCGTGTGCCCCAACGCTCAACTTATCAAAGCTTTTTAAAAAAAAGTTTTAGTAAGAGTTTTAGATAAAGATAAGATAAGATAAGAGTTTTATTATCCCTGAGATAAATTTTCCATGGCTGTACAGGACCATAAAAACACATGCAGGTATACAAAAGAAAATAATTATATATTACTCTCATTAAAATTCAATATGAAAAGAGAAGTAAAGCTGACAAAATGTACATTTACATCAAATGCATCATTCAACCACATGCAGGAATTTAAATACTAGACCTTTGGAGATATATATAGATACATACTCTAAGTGAAACACACATCTATGCTCATTCTGACTAAAGCCTTATGCCAGATGGTAAAAATATGTACCTGCCGCAGCGTGATCTTACAATTTGTGTGGAAAAGGCACTTGCAACACAATAAAATCATAAAAGTGCCAAAGATTAGAGGTGTTACAAGGAAAGAAGGAGGGGAGATAAAGACGATAGATGTTTGTTAGGAAGGAAAAAGCAAACCACACTAGAGCACCCGCCAACCACCCACAGAACATGCAAGTGCCCCAAAGCTCAACTTATCAAAGCTTGTTGAGACAGAGACTTATAACACCAAATTTAAAAAAAAAATATAATGTAAGTGTTTTTACGCCCCTTTCACAACAATTTCCATCACTTAGGGGACGGACTTCCCAAACTGCCTGTTAGGGCCAAACCTGGTTGAGAGGAACACGTCCCAGCAGAAAGATTGAGATACTTGAGATAAATTTTCTCCCCAATAGGAAATTGAGCTTGCAACTCATATGTGTGACAGTGAAACACTTAACACTTTGCCGCCTCATCTCGCCGATCGGCGATGAATACCACCGAGTTACTTTGGATTTTCCCCAATATGCTTTTGCCTTTGATGGCAAGGGTTTTTACTATGTGAGCCTAGTGATGGCAAAGTGTTAACCGCTACACCAAAGAAGCCAGTTTATAACACCAAATAAAAACTCACTCACCAGAGCCTCAGCGCCATTGGGGGCACTATATGTCATTCCAGGCACAAAAATACGAAGCTGGAAAAAAAAAAGCATAAATTAAAATAAATAGGACAGCATAAATTAATGACTAATATCTCTGTGACAATAATTTTAAAGGGTGAAAGTAGGCTGTCCACTTGTGGTTATTTTAGTGGACAAAGGTCAAGACGACAGTCGTCTCATTGTGTGAAGAGAGGAGGAGAGGATTAAGATAAGAGTATAAGAGTAATATTAGAGAAGAGTTGTTGTAGTTGATGTCTTGAGTTGTGTATGAAATTGATAATAGAGAGGGAAAGTTGGGTGAAATGTCAGCATCACTCTCTCATCCTGGCCCATCTGAAGAGAAGAAGACAAAGAGCTGAGCACGTGAAAGCATCCACCAAACACTCATTTCAAATGAAGTGTACTTGAATTATCTTATCTAAAACTCATACACAGGATAGCATGTTCGGCGAATGAGTGCTTCTTAGATCGAAATCTACCAAATAGACCTTCACATACTTTTACCGATAGAGAAATGTGGGTGAGAGAACCTCTTGTATTTAGTTGGAGAAACCCTTGATACTACCATTGCATCTTTTAGATACAAATTCTCAATCAATGCTGGGAAATATGCAGGAAGATTCTATGCTTTTTACTGTTTCATAAAAGAAAATGAATACTCTGAGATGTCATGACTGCTAAATTAGCAGAGTATTTATCCTTAGTAGGAGAACATATGGCCAGGGAAAGTAGAGGCATTCGGCTCAACATTCTCTTCTCTTCATTGTTTCAGGAAGAAAGATCTCTGCATTCCGGACATGTCCATTGATGCTCCGTTGCTCTCTCCAAAATGTCGAAGAGGGTCTTTCCACTGATTGTGCCAGTGCATGTCTGGTTGAACGTTCTTCTGTTCTTTCCTGCAGTGATGCTAGATTTTCCACTTCCTTATTGTATTAACAAAAGCATCATCCTCTCCACAGCAGTATTGGTCTCTGCCTACCTATCTTCCTCCTCAATCAGCTGGTGAGAGACATTTCAGGATCTCGACCCTGTCTGGTTGAACCGTGCTGTCAACTGAGGTGGCCTCACAAGCCAGTCTGTCTGATTTTTCATTTCCCTTAACGCCTGCATGGCCAGGGCAGAAAACCCATGTGAGCGATCTTATAGGTGTTGCTTCAATCAATATGTGGGAAGTGCACATAATCATATTATTATCACCAGCCAGCTATTTAATGAAGTAAGTCCGTACTTTTTTTCTTTCAGCAGTTTTTAAATCCAGTCTCAGTGGAAAATTTTCTCTGCCAGATTTGGTCTCATCAGCCACAGCAGAAGCCACACGTCACCTTAATCTTTAATTCTTCAAATTCTTCTGAAATATTCTCCTCTCTGGTCATCGTCATACACTGACGGGCTAGTCATTATTCTAAACGGTACCGGCGGCATGGGCTCAAGAAATATTTGGTCAAAATTCAGATTATAAATGTTGAAAAAAGCAAGAAAAATTACATCAAAATGAAGGCATAATTGTTAAAAGAATTAAAGTTTTTCTCTCTCTCAAGTAACATTTTACTCTCTGAACTTAGTACATTTTAACACTTTCCACCCACTCAGTGCCCAGAGCGCGCAACACTTATCCCCACTGACCAGGATACAGGTGCCATACACGCTATATCACAGCGTCGCCCATCGGCCTCCCATGAGAGGAAAAGTGTTAATGGTTTGATGACGATGTATGTTGGCAGTAGGATTATGTCAACAACAAAAATCAATCGAACAGATTTGGCCCACATGGGAGAAAATGTAACATTTCTGTATAAGAATAAAACAAAGACGGAAAAAAAAAAATTACAAGAAAGGAGTCTCATTTGTCCACAAGGGCCACCTATAGGAGAAAAGTGGTTGTCTTAGACAGGTGAACGTCTTGGACAGTGTGATTATTTATAATATAAATAATACACATGATGGGAAGCATAAAGCGATTAGTCTTAGCAAATGTTTTACGGCACTTGCATTACAATAAGGTCGTATAAGTGCCGAAGATTAGAAATATTACAAGAAAGTAACAAAAAAGGTTTGTTCTAGTAAGTGTTTTACGGCACTTGCAACACAATAAGGTCATATAAGTGCCGAAGATTAGAGGCGTTACAAGAGAGAAACAAACACAAAAAAGAAGGAGGGGAGATAAAGACAATACATGTTTGATAGGAAAGAAGGAGCAAAACCAAACCAGAGCACCCGCCAACCACCCACGCATAAAGTGAGAAGTGGTCATTTGTACAGGTGAATGTCTCGGACAAGAGCCTATAAAAAACAGGTTTGATTGTATTCTATTGACTCACCAGACAAATAAAGGGCATGATAAGGGTCCAAAACCAAGCTGGAAGTATGCCGTAGGTGAGGTTGGTCATAACAAGACCTGGACACACTACGTGGGAGTAGACATTCTGAGGAAAATTATGTTTGCTGTTCTAGTTTGTTTTTTAAAATGTGTACATCTGAGTTTTACAGCATTTGCAACATAAATAGGTCACATTAGTACCAAAGATTAGAGGTGTTACTAAAGAGTAACAAACAAAAAATAGGAGGAGAGATAAGGATATAGTTGTTTGTATGGAACAAAGGAGCACACCACACCAGAACACCCTCCAACCACTCATGATATTTTTCAGTTTGAGTAAGAGTTTTACGGCACTTGCAACACAATAAGGTCATATAAGTGCCGAAGATTAGGGATATTACAAGAGAGTAAAAAACACAAAATAAAAGGAGGAGAGATAAGGACGATAGATGTTTAATAGGACAGAAGGAGCAAACCACACCAGAGCACCCGCCAACCACCCACTCTCATGATGTTTGTTGAGATAAATCACAAGACTATGAAACAAGATAGCCCCCCCCCCCCCCCCCCTCCTGCCCAACTATTTGAGAAGTATTCCACAACATGACATAAAGAGTACGGCACTTGAGAGGCACTTTCTGGCTTATGTCAGCAGTCTCATTTACCCCTTTTCCTGATTTTCTTTTTTAGTAGAGGTTTTACGGCGCTCGCAACTGCATTAGGTCATATGAGCACCAGAAGATTAGAGGTGTTACAAGAGAGTAACAAACATTAAAAAAGAAGAAGGGGAGATAAGGACGATAGATGTTTGATAGGAAAGAAGAAGCAAACCACACCAGAGCACCCGCCAACCACCCACCCTGATTTTCTGTACCTTACTTTAGTCATAGACACCAGAAAGAGAGGTAGGGTGCAGTGTATTGTAGCCTTTTAGTTTTTTTAGTTTAGTAGAGGTTTTACGGCTCTCGCAACTGCATAAGGTCATATGAGCGCCAAGGGGTAGGTGTCAACAGAGAAGTCCTTAAAGGGAATCAGACTTACTTTGCCCCACCTCTCTAGCTTCAACAGCACAAAGTCTGTTTCGACTATCAAATCACCCCGGAAAGAGTCCGTCACAAGAGTGTGACAAACATACAAAAGAAGTAGAGGAAAAATTACAATAGTAAGGATTAGGAAAGAAAAAGCAGCAGTTCCCTGTTGTAGATCAGGCACAGGTATGAGCGTGACATTGATGAATCAGCCCATTTACAATTCTACTGTGCATGAATGAGAAATGTCCCCCCTTTGGGAAAGGTCTAAAGACACTTCAGCCAGTGGCACCACCCCGGGTATAGTAGCCTTGTGAACACAGAATATCACGATTCAGGGAGAGCCAATATTTGATAGAAGAATGAAACCATGAAACTGAATTGCTATTATTTTATTATTAATAGAAAAGCACAACAAATACAGAACACCCCGCAAAAGCTTTGGTATGTTACACATTTTATTTTATCTAAACACAAAAACAACCCACAAAACATTTTCTAACTGAAGTTCAGAAGAAAAACTCTGTTGTCCTTGAAAATAACACTCATAACATTTGACAGGAAAAAACCCCCCAAACTTCATTTCCCATACTTTCCCTATTTAAGCTGATGACACTATTATCAATACACTCCCTCTTTCTCTCTCACACACACACATACACACACTCACATAAACACACACACACACTCACAAACACACACACATACACACAATCATTCATATAACACAACAACATCTGATCTGTTGCACCATCTGTGGAGCAAAGACTTACCCTTTTATTCATTGAATCATTCAGACCAACACTCAAAATGTCCATAGCAAACTTGGAAGAGCTGTAGGGATCTTTGCTAGAGAAAAACAAACAAAAAAAACAACATTGAGCCCAGTTGATAAAAGGTGATAAAAACTTTGCATACGGTATGGGTATTCCCCAAAATAATGAATATACATGCATATATAGGACTCTTAAAATATATCATTGCTCCTTTATACATTTATTTCAGAATGAGTGATTTCTAAAAGATGGGTTTTTTTGGCTGTTTATTAAAAACTAGATTCTTGACAACTACTGCTGAAAGATCTGAGGTGAAAGTACAAAATAAAGATTAACAAGCCCTTAAACTGATGTTTCCTGTAATAGTAAATACTCTAAATAAAACAGTTAACAATGATATGGTTCAAAAGGATTTGCTTCATCCTAAGATCATGATTTCCATGCAACATAAACAAAAGAGTTGTGACCTGCACAGGTCAGAAAAGATGGATGATAAGACAAGACAAGACAAGACAAGACAAGACAAGACAAGGAATGATAAAGATGGATGATATGATAAGACAAGACAAGACAAGACAAGATAAGGAACAATAAATATTAATGACAAGATAAGACAAGACAAGGCAAGATAGATAAGACAAGACATAATAAGATAAGGAACGAGAAAGATGGATGACATGATAAGACAAGACAAGGACAAGACAAGACAAGAAAAGACAAGACAAGATAAGATAAGGAACGATAAAGATGGAAGACAAGACAAGACTATACAAGGCAAGACAAGACAGGATAGGACAAGACAAGATAAGATGCGGAACGATGAAGATGGATGACAAGACAAGACAAGACAAAACAAGACAGACAAGACAAGATAAGGAACAATAAAGATGGATGACAAGACAAGATGAGATGAGATAAGAGAGACAAGATAAGATAAGACAAGACAAGAAAAGATAAAAAATGATAAAGATGGATGACAAGACAAGACAAGATATGATATGATAAGACAAGGCAGACAAGACAAGACAAGAAAAGAAAAATACAAGACAAGATAAGATAAGAAAAAATAAAGATGGACGACAAGACAAGACGAGATAAGACAAGACAAGACAAGACAGGACAGACAGAACAAGACAAGACAAGATAGGACAGACAGGACAAGACAAGACAAGATAAGATAAGGAACGATTAAGATGGACGACAAGACAAAACAAGACAAGACAAAATAAGGAACGATAAAATAAAATAACTTTCTGCTGGTACTTAAGTAGCGAAACTAAAACCATTTTCAGGGCATCATCTCTTCCGTTCCATACCCATGTTCATGTTGCAGGTCCTCCATGCTGAAGTTTTTCCTGGTTGCGTTACTGGAGGAGGTCCAGATGAGCTGGGATCTGTTGTATCTGTCGGACGCCGACGAGCCCAATCTGTCTTCTAACTCTTTCACCTGATCAGAAAAAAAAAGACTTGTTTGTGATAGTAGAGGTTTTACGGCTCACGCAACTGAATAAGGTCATATGAGGGCCAGAAGACTAGAGGTGTTACAAGATATAAGAGAGTAACGAACATAAAAAAGAAGAAGGAAAGATAATGACGATAGCTAGATGTTTGATAGGAAAGAAGAAGGAAAAAAAATCCAACAAACATGACGGGAATCTCAAAAAAGAAAAAACAAAAGTTTGATTAAAAAAACGAATAAAAAAAAAATACAAGTCTGTAATCTCAACTAAGTACACATAAACAAATTAAAGGAACTCAAAAAAAGGAAAGCAAACCATCTGAGCGATCTTCAAAATATGCAACCTATTCGCTGTGTTTAGATATCCCAAAGTCATGGACCCTTAAGCTATTAACTCTTTAAACCGGGAGCTTTTTCCACCATTTCCCGGAGTTTTTTTCACAGTCATCTAAACCTAGTGCACTAAGTTTCATTACAACCCCAAAAGCTTGCCTCCAACTTTTAAATTGTGGAAACAAAGTCTTAGTCATTACTAAAAAACTTGGATCAGGAAAAGTTCTGAAAAACAAGCAAAAACTAGCACCAAATGAAATGAAACAGTTGTCACTAATATGATATTTTTAAAAAGTATCAGACGTTTGCGTCCGATTGAGAACAGGGTTATCACCACCGGACGCTCTCAGTGTTCGAAGGGGTTTAAAGAGCTAATGGTGCGACTAGTGAATATTGAATAGTAGTGAATTTTTTTTAAGGAATCAAGAAAGCTATACTATAAATGTGCGTCTTACTAATTCACAGGAGTGATAGGGATATTTTTTACAGTAGGAAATTTAGAATTTGGAATTTAGCCAGGGTGACAATGCCATTATTTTTTAAAGTCCAGTATATGCAGTTTTAACAATTTTACAGGAGAGCCAAAATGCTGAATGCTGTAGTCTTTCCCAAGAAATCACTCTTTGTAAACATCCCCAATCAATATTTTTAAGGAAACAATTTCGACAATAACTTCCCTATTATCTTTAAGGTATATGTTGTTTTCTTGATAACAAAATTTAGTTTTTTTTGCTTTCCTTTAAAATTGTAAAAACAGCATTTACTGTACTTTTGAAAATGACGACCTAACAGCCTTCTCTCGTACTGACCAGCACATAGTGTCCGAACAGGTTGGTCTCAAAGACGCCCTGAAGTCCGTCGTCCGTGACCTCATCCTCATGTACCAGTAGTCCTTCCCCTGTTGCAAACATGTAGAACACTCGGCTGTGGGGTGAGGGGGCAGAAAAAGAGATTGGATATTATATTTTAAAGCTGTTCTTTGTTAAGAGATTTTGTTCTCTTCTTTCAGATTTAAAAGCTGTTCTTTTTTCTTGGAGATTCAAAAGCTGTTCTTCTTCTTTGAGATTTTAAAAAGCTGTTCTTCTTCTTTGAGATTTAAAAAAAATGTTCTTTTTCTTCGAGATTTAAAAGTTATTCTCTTCTTCAAGATTTAAAAACTGTTCTTTTCCTACGTGACTTAAAAGCTGTTCTTTTTCATTGAGATTTAAAAGCTGTTCTCTTTGATACTAAAAAAACCTCTTGTCTTTCTTTGAGATTAAAAAGCTGTTCTTCTTCTTTGAGATTTAATAGCTGTTCTTTTTCTTTGAGATTTGAAATTTATTCTCTTCTTCAAAATTCAAAAACTGTTCTTTTCCTTTGAGATATTTAAAAACTTTTGTTTTTCTTTAAGATTGAAAAGCTGTTCTTCTTCTTTGAGATTTAATAGCTGTTCTTTTTCTTTGAGATTTAAAAGTTATTTTTTTTGTTTGATATTTAAAAGTTGTTCTTTTTTTAAAATTTAAAAGCTGTTCTTTTTCTTTGAGATTCAAAAGTTGCTCTTCTTCTTGGAAATTTAATGGCTGTTCTTTTTCTTTGATATTTAAATATTATTCTCTTCTTCAAGATTTAAAAACTGTTCTTTTCCTACGAGACTTAAAAGCTGTTCTTTTTCTTTGAGATTTAAAAGCTGTGCTCTTTGATTAAAAAAAACTCTAGTTTTTCTTTGAGATTTAAAAGCTGTTCCTTTTCTTTGATATCTAAAAGTTATTTTTTTCTTTTCTTCTTTGAGATTAAAAACCTGTTCTTTTCTTTTTTAAAGCTGTTTTTTTCCCCTCAGAACTATACTAAAACTCGTATTATGAGAATAAAAATATTGTTTTAGTTGTGAAACATTGCGAGTTAATCCAAAATCAATTTTATGGTAAATGGTAACTCCATAGTCATCACATGTTGAAAAAACGTTTTGAATATGCCTCTACTACATGGCTAGATCAGTGGTTTTTAACCTTGTTGGAGGTACTGAACCCCACAAATACATTTCGTGAATTCACCAAAACCTTCGAGTTGGTGAATAGAAAGGGAAGCTCACAAAAACAGCGTTTTTGTTTTGACTTCCACCAAACCCCTGGGGTCCAATAATTGATCCCCGATTAAGAACTACGGGGCTACATCGAGTTTAAATTGTGGTTGCTATTGAATTATAAGTGACAATTAGAAGCTTAATGAAGGACAGTCACATCTCAACAAGAAGTGATTCACAAAACTGTGTTACCAAAAAATAGAAACAATAGAGGTCTGCAGTGGAGTCCTCCTAAACCCAAGTTTGCTGCACCACTGGATTTTCTACAATTTAGTTGTGTTTTTGGTTTAGACAGAATGCTCAAATAGCATGGTAAAAAAAAGGGGATTCTACTTTTTCTTAGGTTTACTGACGGTCTTAGGTTTACCGATGGTCTCAGATTGACCGCTCTTGGTTTCAGCGGTATCCATTGTATATATCATTTTTTTCTTATAGTAGTAAGCATTCAACTGCACTTGCAATACAATTAAGTCATACAAGTGCCGAAGTTTAGGGGTGATGCAAGAGAGTATCAAACATAAAAATAAAGGAGGAGAGATAAGGACGATATATGTTTGATAGGAAAGAAGAAGCAAACCACAGCTGAATATCTGCCAACCACCCACGTATAATATTTGAGGAGGAAAGAGGAAAGACAAGACATTATATATATAGAGGAAGTTCAAATTTAAAAGTAGTGAATTGAAAACAAAACTATCACCTGGCATATAGAGACCATACCTTGAAAAGAGACCACGCCAGAAATATCCCCAATCCACACCTGTTACCTTCATCATCCCAGCATTCAGATACAGATAATCAATATGATCATACCTGGGGAGGTAGAGTGGTAAAAAAATCATAAATGTAAAACTGAAACTTTAAACATTTGAATTTCTATACACGTATGTAACCCAAGACTGTTCTAAAAGGCAGACTCCCACCAGTGTGATGTCAGTGGCCTAGTGGTTAGGCTCTTGAACTTTCAACTGTCAGGTCGTTGGTTCGAATCCTGTCATATGCCTCACATTATGTCTATGGGAAAGGCATTTTACACAAACTTTCCTCACTTTGCCCAGGTGGGAATCGGCACTCAGCTATGGGCAAGAGAAAGATCTTGTCAGTTTGTCGTTGTTTGAACGTGTGCAATCGGCAGCTCACATTGCATGCTGCCCAGAAGCTGGTAACATTTCTGAGTGATATAGTTACTAATTGTACCAAGCATAGGTAGGGCATGCTGTAGAGCATGGATTCATTATTATTACTGTAAACCTCTCAGGTAGGGCAGAAGCAACCCATCCCCAACTAGCTCTAAATAGGAATGATGTAAATAACAATCAAAAAAATGTTAAACTTCAATTTCACCACAAGTATTAGGCCGAAAAGCTTGCTGTCAACTGTAGACTGACCGTGGGCTGAGGAGATGCTTACTCTTTCCTATGTTGGCAATGAATGATTGGTTCCAACATTTGATTGTCACCTGAACAATTAAATTCATGAAGAAAGAGCATTGCTTTTCAAAGAGAGTGAGAGAGAGAGAGAGAGAGAGAGAAAGAGAGAGAGAGAGAGAGAGAGAGAGAGAGAGAGAGAGAGAGAGAGAGAGAAGGAAAGAGAGAGAAAGAGAGAGAGAGAGAAAGAGAGGGGGAGAGGAAGAGGGAGAGAGAGAGAGTAAAGGGGAGGGAAAGAGAGGAGAAGAGAAAGAACGGGGGAGAGGGAGAGGGTGAGGGAGGGAGAGAGAGAGAGAGAGAGAGAGAGAGAGAGAGAGAGAGAGAGAGACAGAGAGAGAGAGAGACAGAGAGAGAGAGAGACAGAGAGACAGAGAGACAGAAGTGGGGTGGGGGGGCTGAATGGTAAAATTTTTATTTTTTATTTGGAAAGTAATTATATGCTGAGGGCTCCAGGGGTAAGGCAGAGCAGATTGTATAAAATTGTAGCTTGTTTCAATCAATGCAACACACAATGTAATGATTTCACAAAGTACGCTTCAGAGATTTTAAAAAAAATGACATTATCAAAACATTACATCCATATAGTACCATTTTGACAACACAAGCAATAATTACATGCTTAGTTAGTACCCTGAAAGAGTTGTAAAGTGGTTTTTCTTTTAAATAATAAAACTGAACAAAAAGAAATAAAACATACAGTATAAAGAATAAACTCACAAATAAACCCAGAACACGAGCAGTGCTCTGTCAACAATAAAAAGACACAAAAAAACCTCACCGATTTCTCAACTCAGCTGCTGCTCGATGTACTGAAGCCACGCTAGAAGTGTCCAAAAGCACAATGTCAACGTCAGCATCGGGGAACTTCTGTTTCAGTTTGTCTGCTGCCTCCTCTGCCCGAGCTTTATTGCGGCATGCAAGACACAGATGAATTTTTGAAGATTTCTTCAAGAGTCGTTCTGCAAGGGCATACCCAATGCCTCTGTGTGGAGGAAAGGAGAAACAGCTTGGTCTCGCACTGATGTCTCACTGTTCGTTATTCTTTTTCATTGTCTGGTCTGTTTTTCGTCGCACTAAGTCGAATAAAACCTACCAAAAGGTCATGATGCGACTCCTGTTTGAAATTGTAACTTGAAAGCCTTCTTACTACAATCAATCCAACATTCAATACATAAAGGACTACAGCATGATCTATATAGTGTGTGACATCAAATAATTTCCTCCCCTACTGGCACAAGGAAAAAGTACGACTGGCTATTCAGCTTTTCAAAACAGGTTTCTTTGGCATGATGACATGATGGTTAGACTCTTTGCCATGCAGTTGAAAGACGCTAATGAATGTGGGGTGAAAAAATTGTTTCCTTGAGTTGTGTGGGCCCTGACAGACAGGAAGATAGATCTACTACCAGCTTTCTTAAGTTACTGCTAAATTTTAACGGTGACTATTCCTCCGAACGTTCGGAGAAATAGTGCCGATCTTTATTTCTCCGAACGGTTTCCGGCTTCCGGTCTCATGATTTTTTGCAAATATTTATAGCGAGAATTCGGCGCCAACTTTCATTCTGCCCCTCTGGCCTCTGATCTTGGAAGGAACACCGCATGGCAAGCCCGCCTACATACACCCTTCAGTAACACCCACCGCACACCCACCACCATCATGCACATGTACACACACAAACTTATACACACACTAACTAAACATGATCAGTGGGCAACTTTTGAACGTATGACGAGCTGAGCTGTGGATGGAGAGACAGTGTGAGTGAAAGAGCGGGTGAAAGGATGAATGTACGAGTGTACCCACAGGCGACAGCAACTACAAGAAGTGAAGACGACACCGACCCCCCCTCCTGGCCTGGTCCACAGCTCACGAACGAAAGGAATGTGGCTAAGGCAGTGTTTTGCCTATATTATTGTCCATGGTTCGCAGGGTGCAAGGGGATGAGTGAGATTTTCTTAGTGTGTGCCTGGAGGGAGGGGGGGGGGGGGGTGTGTGAGAGAACACGGGAATTGGATGGATGAGTGAAACTGAAAGAAAGGAACGACTCATGAGCCCTGGAGTGAATGGATCCTGTGTTTCTATTTTTGTATACTTTGAACTGTCATGTTACTGAATAAAGGCTGAAATAAAGCCCGAAAAACAAACACACACACACACTCCTCACTCTCCACTTACACACTTACTACCACACACAGACACACTCACACACGCACATGCATACACACACACACACACACACAGGAGCAAATTTTTGGGTCTATATCTATTTCAATTTTCAAGAGCTAATCTAGAGATTTTTTAGTGTAAAAACGTGAAAAAGAAAGGTTTCACAACAGGATGAAATCAAAATTAGAACAGTCCATATAAACAACCACAAAAATTAACAAATAAGGGCGTGTGTCCACCTGTCCGAAGAAGATTGGCTGTTTTAACCATAAATGTGCGTACATTTTTAAAAAAAGTACAGGATATTACATGTAAATTATGGAATCACAGTGTCAGTCCATGTAATCGGTTTTGGTGGAACGTACACTCTAACATAAGACATAAATCTATCTATATATATATACATATATATATATACATGTACATGTATATATATTTAGAATCTAATGAAGGTAGGAACATCAAATTAAATGACGTTACACTATGCAAGTATGTAACACCCCCCCCCCCTTTTCCCCAACAAAAAAATTGATAGAAAAACAACACATCAGAACAATAACAAGAAAAAAAATTACACACTAACAAAATAAAACACCACAAAGAGAGTCAAAGAGGGAAAAATAAAAGTAACTCAATAAATCAACGGGGTGACAACAAGTGAGAAAGAGACTTAGTGAAGCTAAGTGAACTTTCTTTTCAAAAGTAAAGAGGTTCGGTTTCTTTCGGTTAAATTTGACTTTTATTCCCCGAACAAAAAATGCCAATAAATCGAGCCACGATTGATTGGTCGCGGCTGCGACAAACGCAGAAGCTAGTTCTATGTGTCGTTATCAATAACCCTCCGTAGATCTAGATCTAGACAGCACACGAGTGAACACAATACATTAAGTTTAAGAGCAGCACCCTTCATAGGCAACACGTCATACCTGTAGCAAAAAACTGTTTGGAACTGTAGCATTTCTTTATATAAATATTTACTGCGGACATTTTTTTGGACCGATTGAACCATATTGTATACAAACAATCTTTGGTAGGCCTATACTCTATATATATAATATCCGAAATTTGCGGGAAAGGATGTGATTTTAGAGTGTTCGGAGAAATAGTGTCCAGCTTTATTTTCCCGAACGTTCGGAGAAATAGTGTCCAGCTTTATTTTCCCGAACGTTCGGAGAAATAGTGTCCAGCTTTATTTTCCCGAACGTTCGGAGAAATAGTGCCGGCCAAATTTTAATTGCAGGCTTGTAAAAAACCAAAGTTGGAATTACATATATTATGGTTCAAGAAACCAACAACCATGCAAATGGATGATTGTGTTGAAAATACTGTGTGGTCAGAGATATCCATGTGTTTAAAATTTTCAGGTGAGAAACAGTTTTAAAAAGTTTTGAGAACACATTCAGGGGTGAGAGGTCGATCGTATTACTGAATAGCCACTTCCCTAAGAGAAAGAAAGAGAGAAAGACAGAGAAAGAGAGAGAGAAAGAGAGAGAGAGAGAGTCAGAGAGAGAGAAAGAGACAGGAGGAGAGGAGAGGCCCAGGGAGTTGGGGGAAGGAGGGGGGTACTGATGGTGCATTGTCATTGTGATTTTGACTGCAATCATTACACTGCTCATGATTCACATTGTCACTGAGACTGACACTGCACTGACAGCACCCCCCCCCCCCCCCCCCCCCCCCCCCCCCCAAATCGTTAATTACTGCACTAGACCTAAATCTAGATATCAGATCTAGAATCAAGGCACTAGATCTAGATTTAGAATCTATAGATTCTATATAGATCTAGATATAGATCTAGATCTAGATCTAGATCTATATAGAATCTATATTCATTCATTTATCATCCATTTATTCATCAACAATTCAACAACAAAAAGTTTCGAAGAAGATATGGAGTAAATCAGTACATACGCATTAGCACCAGTAATTACTGCTACTGTTCGCCTGGAATTTGCCATAGCATTCATCGAAAGATTCTTTTTTTTATATCTCGAAGGACTGAAAAGTTCACTTTGCTCAGAGCAACCTGACTTTCGTCTGTCGTTTCCACACTGTTATATTGATAAAATTTGATATCTCCCTCTCTCCTCTCACAATCATCCGATCGAAAAAAATTGCGGAAGTAATGTCCCTTGAACAAGATAAAGAAAAAATCCGAATAAAAAGAGAGACGAAAAGGTTGAACCTCACAGGAAGTACCGGAAGTAGTAATGACTAATAGATCTATTTCCTTCTGAGTGACCCAAAACACTGTAGTAGACTATTAGGCTAGGTAAGTGTTTCCTCTCAAACCATAAATTTACTGTGTTGATGTAGTTGTGAGGTTTTGATTAGACTTCCATTCGAGTAAAGTAAGTCTAATCTGTGTCTGTTTTGTAGAAAAAATTATTCATCGTCTCTCCCGTCTCGGAGGACAGTCTACTCCGCAGTGGTCATTTGACGCTGATTCTTCTTGGTGAATTAAAAATAAAGATGATGGCCAAAACACTCGAGGCCTTCTCAAGACTCAAGGCGAAAGTGTAAAACTCTGCCCTGATTTATCGACTATTTAAAGCGATATCTGGTCTACTTTTGATACAATGTTCAAGCAATGGAGAGAAAGTCCAGGAGACTTCTTTACGCTAGATTCTAGATCTAAGTCTAGAACTAGATATCTAGATCTAGAATAAAAATTTGATCGACTTCTCACCCCAGGTGAGACTTGCCAGCGTTGGCTATTCTCACCGGCCACCTCTATTCTCACCCCGGGTGAGAATAGCTCAGGCGAGTCTTTTGGCTATTCTCACCCGGTGGGCGTTCACCGTTATAGTATAGCCTAGGCCAACCAGTGAAGCGTTCACCCTGAACCACAGAATTCTGCACTGTGATTATAACAGAATTATAGAATTCTATGCTGTGAACTGTGAACAAACGTTCTAGAAAGCGTACAATTTTGTCTGTGGGCAGTGGAGAGAGAGAAAGAGAGAGAGAGAGGAGTAGCGTGAGAACTTCCGGGCAAAACAAAATGGCGACCCGCGTAGTTCGGCTCGATTCGGAAAGTTAAATAGCCGTAGCCGTGCCGTAGCATCTTTGTAGACAACCAAATTAATTTAGTTTTGTTTTTTAACATCATTTTTCAACTTTGTTTTGGTCAATTTGATCGTTCTCACCGATAGACAGTATTCAGAAAGAGACAGAGAGAGAGAGAGGGGAGGAGTAGATCTTTCGAGAACTTCCGGGAAAAACAAAATGGCGACCCGCGTAGTTCGGCTCGATTCGAAATGTGAAATAGCTATAGCATCTTTGAAGACGATCAAATTAGCTTACTTTTGTGCTATAACGTAATTTTTTGTTTGCTTTTTTTATCAATTTGATCATCCACACCGATAGACAGTATTCCAAAATGAGGAAAAACAGGTGGAAGTGGCTATTCTCATCCGGGGTGAGAATAGAAAAACGATCTACCTCTCACCCCGGGTGAGAATTGCCAGCGTAGGCTATTCTCACCCGAGGCGAAACAAGACCTGCTTTGCCTCAGTTACAATACAGTCGAAATAGAGCATCAAATTGTTTAAAATCCGAGAAAAAATGGCTTAAATGAGAAGAAAAGTAAGCTAATTTGATCGTCTTCAAAGATGCTATGGCTATTTCACTTTTCGAATCGAGCCGAACTACGCGGGTCGCCATTTTGTTTTGCCCGGAACTTCTCGCAAGATCTACTCCTCCCCCCCCTCTCTCTCTCTGTCTCTTTCTGAATACTGTCTATCGGTGTGGACGATCAAATTGACCAAAACAAAGTTAAAAAATGATGTTAAAACACAAAAGTAAATTAATTTGGTTGTCTACAAAAATGCTACAGCTATTTAACTTTTCGAATCGAGCCGAACTACGCGGGTCGCCATTTTGTTTTGACCGGAAGTTCTCGCGCTACTCCTCTCTCTCTATCTTTCTCGCTCTCCACTGCCCACAGACAAAATTGTAAGCTTTTAGTAGGCTAGGCTACAGTTGTAATGGAACGTTTGTTCACGGCACAGAATTCTACAATGTTTCTGTTATCGCAGTGTAGAATTCTGTGGTTTAGGGTGAACGCAAAATTTGTTGGCCTAGATCTAGGCTATAACGGTGAACGTGCACCGGGTGAGAATAGCCAAAAGACTCGCCTGCAGTATTCTCATCCCGGGTGAGAATAGAGGTGGCCAAAACAGGTCTTGTTTCACACCGGGTGAGAATAGCCTACGCTGGCAAGTCTCACCTGGGGTGAGAGTTAGATCGTATTTTTATTCTCACCCCGGGTGAGAATAGCCACTTCCATTCTCACCCGGTGTGAAATAAGATCTGTTTTTTAAATTTCGGAATACTGTCTATTGGTGTGGATGATCAAATTCAAATCAAATAGTAAGACAAAGAAAGAAAAATGGCATAGAGATTAGATCTAGTCTGTGTTTTGCCCAGAAGTTCTGGCAAGATCTACTCCTTTTCTCTCTCTGCTCTCTTTGTCTCTTTCTGAATACTGTCTATCGGTGTGGACGATCAAATTGACAAAAACAAAGATAAAAAATGGTGTTAAAACACAAAAGTAAATTAATTTGGTCGTCTGCAAAGATGCTACGGCTATTTCACTTTTTGAATCGAGCCGAACTATGCAGGTCGCCATTTTGTTTTGCTCGGAAGTTCTCGCGCTACTCCTCTCTCTCTCTCTCTCTCTCACACTCTCTCTCTCTCTCTCTCTCTCTCTCTCTCTCTCTCTCTCTCTCTCTCTCTCTCTCTCTCCCTCTCTCTTCTGTCTCTCTCTCTCTCTCTCCTCCCCCCCTCTCTCTCTCTCCTCCCCCTCTCTCTCTTTCCTCCCCCTCTCTCTCTCTCTCTCTCTCTCTCTCTCTCTCTCTCTCTCCATTTCTCTCTCACTACCCACAGAAAAAATTGCTCGCTTTCAACACAAGAGCGCTGGAACGTCTGTTCACGGTGAACGCTACTTTGGGTGGCCTTCACATTGGTGAAGGCAATCCGGGTGAGAATAGCCAAAAGGCTTGCCTGCGCTATACTCACCCGGGTTGAGAATAGAGGTGGCCTAATCTAATAAAGACTAGATGTAGTTTTCCCCCAAATCGACAATAGTCGTCTCCCGCGTTCGAGAGCTGGCCCGCCCGTTGGCAATTTTAGTCGCCTCGCGCGCTCAGTGGAGTGAGAGAGGGAAGCGAGTTTTGTCGCCTGGAGCGCCCAGTGACGGGGGGGGGGGGGGGGTGTACTATGGTGCCCAAAACGAAATAAAAAGGGTGGAAACGAGAAAAAAAATGGGTGAGAATACTGGGCTGTCATTATTCTCACTCTGGGTGAGAATAGACTTAGTACCCATTTTATTCTCACCCCTGTTGAGAATAATATCCTTTTTGTCCTCACCCCGGGTGAGAATAATTGACAGTCTCTAAAACTATGGCAAACCAATTATTTATATTCAGAAAATTAAAAGCCTTTGCTAAACATCAAATTATGTTAGTTAAAACAGAGGGCATCACTCCCTCCCCCGCCCCCCTCGTATCCTCCCCAGAATTGTGTACTTCAGGGGGGGGGGGGTATGACGCAATTAGGCTTAGATTTAGTAAAGTATAGTTTGATTAAAAACCGTCAAATTTTAAAAAAATATTAATTTGCAATGGAATTGAAGTCGATATTCATGTTTAGCACATCTATTAATTATACTAGTATATAGACACCTAGATCTAGTAGCGAAGTGTGAGATGGGAGAGTAACTAAAAAGAATACCAAGCCCAGAAACAGGGATAAGAGTTTGTGATTTTTTATTCTAGTACCCGCTACCCGCTACCTCTATTCAAGTAGATCGCCTGTGGCAAGACCACATGCCGGGTGAAATGTTGAGTTAAGGACTATGGCTCTTCGAATGACTTGATGATTTTTTAATTTGTTTTCATCATCGTATCAGAAGTACTCAGTTCAGTTCTAGATCTAGTCAACGGACTAATATTCCTGTCCTGGTGCAGAGTTTCAAATAATTGCTTGTGTAAGATCAAAACAAATTCACAATTACTAGTGTGGCAAACTGATGTTGTACTGAAGTACATCCACCTGACCTTGGTTTTATCTTGACAGCTTGTTCAACTTGGCCTATATTTCAGCCTAACTTGCCTGAATTTTATGTTCCCCTGCTTTCCCACTTTGTTTGTTTTCAGAGGCAGTTTTATCTGCAAACTGGTAGCCGTAATTCCCACGTTTGCTCTTTACTGAGAGTAATTTACTAGTGGTGATGCATGGTATGAGGTTGCTCTGTCATTTTTTAAATATGTTTTTTGTTAATGTTTTCTTGTATTTAATGAATGATTAAAAAATAATTCAATGTCATAAATAAGCTGTTCTCTCATTTTGTAGGTTGGCCGGAACAAGTTTTTCCTTTTCTAAGATCTACACCTGCTGCTTAGAAATTCACCATGGCTAACACTGTGTGCACGAATGTAGCCAAAAGCCTTATGGTTTGGACCGGCGTTTGCTATCTGGTAAGGTCGTATTTTGATGTTTGTTACAAAGCCTGTTGTTGTTATTGATCCAGACAAAGCCTGTTAGATTGAGGAAAGGCGAGATTTTTTTACTGTTTATAAAGATATTGCGATGTACTGGCAACAGTACTCGGTCTTGCCCTTCTTAAGGTAAAACTGTTCTTAAATCTGTTTGTAGTATGAACATACTGTCAATCTTGTTTTAACGCCCATGTGTCCAAGAACAGTTTCTCCTTTTCTGCGGTGCACCGGCAGTGGAATTTTAGTTGCCGGTGCGCCGTGGAATAGTTCGAGGGATATCTTACAAAGATAAAGAAGTAGAAAAAACGGGACTGCAGGCACAGTTCAACGGATGAATGATTTCGAGTCTTCTGTGCACTGTGTTCGACCTATCCGTGTTATACTGTAGTTAGATCTGGAAGCTGATTTTGTCCAACATATCTGGGGTAGTTGGGAATTTAGCATGACCTGCGATGTTACATGTCATTGTTAGAAGCAAAATGGCAAGACCGGAATTTGACTGGTTCCTTCAAAATTGATGCTCCTTTTGGATATATTACATTGACATAATCCCTGTACTGTTACGGATGAAAGGATAATGCTGTTGACATCTAATTAAGTTTTTTTCTTTTTATTTTACTGTCTAGCATGCACATTGCGGAATCGGCATGATGCAGAAACCTTTTTGCTGCATACGGATTTTGCTTTGTATGTTTTACATTTGAATTCACAGGACACAAATATTTAAGAAAAATTCTTGCCCTAACAGTGTGCTCGCTATTGTGTTTCTCTAATTGCTTGCCACACTGTAATTGTTCAGTTATTATTGATTAGGTGTGTTTATGTTCTATGAAGTGAGAAGTGTCTATTTCTGACTGTATTGTGACAGGTCTTCGAAATAGATAAAGGTAAGTGCAATCTATTATTATTATTATTGCTACTATTAGAGAATGGTCCACCTTTTCCCCCCCAGATGTCAGCCGGAGGTTTGTCCTACATTGGAATTTGGGTCTTCAGCACATATGACCACTTCGATGAGATTGCAGATGCGACCTTAACCTTGCTGCCTGCCAGCATCATTTTGGGTGTCAGCGTATTCATGTGCATTATTGGAATCTTGGCTTGCATTGCTGCTTTCAAGAATAACAAGCTGTTGCTGTCTGTGGTGAGTCCTTTGTTTTATGAGTGTTTTGAACCATTTATTTTTTTATCTGGAGGGTCTTTCACGGACAATCTTACTTCAAATATTCCTCTGGAGGACTTTGTTTGGTGTGAGAAGATCACATATTCAATGAATAGCCTGAGGCCGCTCTATCAAAGTCATTTGTGAACAGGCCTATTTGTTTGTTTTTAGACCTGCATGTTTGCCGACAATCGTCTGAAATCCGACAATCGCGACCTGATCCGCGAACCGGCCGATGCTATCGCTAGGCCCGCCTGTATCAGTCAATGTGCGTAGTGCGAGGCCTGGCCGACTGCCAGCGACCCCTTTTTCTCCCGTCGGCTTCGTCGGCACTTTCGTTTTCGTGCCGACGTCGGCGTTTCCGACATAATTGTCGGAACCTGAGTAGAAATGCGAATTCGGAAAAGGACGTCAACGTAGAATTTCGTTTGTTGACTAATTCAATTGTTCAGATCGTGTGGATTCATTTAAGTCCGACTCTCTTGTTCTAATAGAATCTAGATCTAGATCTAGATTTATATAGATCATTATAGACCTCAATGGAGGATTCATATTCCAATTCTATTGTGTCAAACCGTATCATAGGTTGTGCTCAGTAATATTAATGTTGGTAAAAAGCATTTCATCAGGTGCGTGAATTATTTGTTTATTTAGAATCTAGATCTAGATCTTGATCTAGACTCAGCTGAGTCCCTCTGTTCGGAATCGGATGCGGATTTCTAGTTCAAGGCCTATATTCCTATTCACTTGTTCTACAAGATCTAGATCTATATCTAGATTTATTTAGATTACTAGATCTAGATAGTATTTGGAGGATTCATCAATTCTACTGTGTTATTGTATCAAACCCTATAGTATAGCAGTGTAGATGTAAGCCATATAGATCTAGATCTAGATATCTATATGCTACTTGTTTGTTTTGGAGTGTGGCTTTTTAATTTTAATTTTTTTTTTCATTTAGGACTTGTTTTGGCCTTTGTACATGAGGCCCGTTGCGGGTTCTTTTTGGGGGTAGGGTTAGGGTTAGGTCTCTTCTTTATTGTGTTTGTTGGGGTGGTCGCTCGTTACTCGGATGTCCTTCCTTATAACACCCACAAAGGGTTGTTTTTTTTGGGGGGGGGGGGGGGGGGGGGTTGCGCAAAATTTTCAGACAATCTGGTTGAGGCTCACATGCAGGTCTATAGTTTTGCAACTGCCCTTTGAGTATGAAATAACATTTAGTGCACTGTCTATTTGCTCGTCCTTCATTTATGATACACATGTGCCAATGGAGGTTTGTGGAAAGCTGTGTCAAACATATAGTTTTTGGTTTTTTTTTTTCTATTTGGCTTGATGTCATCATTGTAGCCATTTAAAAATATTCAACTTCATCATGTTAATGCTTTTTTTTTTTTCACTTCGATTATAGTTTATTTGTTTGTCAAGATTGGAAGTCATTTTCAATATATGATATATGAATTTACTTTTTTAAAATATGAAGAACTAGTTTGAAGTCTCCGCTGAAAATGTATTTCATCTCAGTTTTTTATTAGAAGTTTTCTCAGTTTTTTTATTAGAAGCTTTTATGTTGACATGAAAAAGAACAATGATTTTGTGACAGTATCACAAAGTTATTGTGTTTTGTTTTTTTGCTTTGCAGTTTTTCTGTCTGATTCTGGTGGTTTTGATTGGAGAAGTTCTGGCAGGAGTGCTGGGTTACGTGTACAGGAGTAAGGTAAGCTCTATTCCTTCTAAGTGTATAATATGGAAGACTAGTTGCATGTGTCGCAATGTGATGGAATCGGGTGCTAGTCAATTTGGGACATGTGTATGTGTCACGACGTGGTTGAATTGGGCACTCGTCAATTTTTGGGCATATGGACTTACTGATATAATTTTAAAGCATTTTTTTTTCTCGTTTCTTTTAATGAAAATGTAACAGTCTATCTTGAACAGAAATAAAGATATTTGCTACTGAAGGATGTAGGGGTTGCCTGTTCTCAGAGAAAAAAATTACAGAGAAAATGGCCGTCAAAGTTTGTTGACTTTCAAAGCTTGAGAATCATGGGAAAAGTGCTAATATATATTTTTGCTCCTTTGGTCAAAGTTTTTTGAGTAGAATTCACTCAGTAACATGTTTTTAAATGGACATAAAATGTTTCGAACTAAACCTTAGAACAATCCTGCACCCCCCCCCCCCCCACCCCAAATTTGCCCAATAGGTGAACAAATATCGATTTCTTTAATTTCATTATGTTGGCAAACTCCTGCTTCCACCGCAATGCCTCACATAATATGGGGATATGACATCACAGCCATGTTTCTGTCTTCCTTAAGATGAAAGTAGAAAACACAAAACTTCAGTCAGCACAATGGGTTGAGATATGACAGACCTCTCTCTTTCTCTCCACCTCTAGCTCCCCTTATTCATAGTCATGTAGATACATACTTCCAATGATGAAATGTCTCACTGGACGCTCGGTACTGGTCCTAGTACACTCTCAAAATATATCGATTCTCTCTCTCTCTCTCTCTCTCTCTCTCTCTCTCTCTCTCTCCCTCTCCCTCTCCCTCTCCCTCTCCCCATGTATGTGTCTGTCAGAGATTGTATTCCAGTCTGCCTATTTTGAGAGAAATCTAGATGGTTTGGGTTACAGTAGTTTCAAATTACATAAGGCATGGTCACAGTTACAATGATTAGGCTACTGGTTTAAAAAATCTCCTGACAATCAATATGGTAACTCAGATTAGCTTTGTTGGTTGATTTCACACTTCATAAATGAGCACCTGTTGTATTTTACTTACTTTTATAAGTTTGTCTTTAAGGAAGGGGGTGCTTGTATGGCTCCTAATTTTTTGTCACTAATGTGGGGGAAGTTTGATAGCAAAAGTATAGTTTCAAAGTTTCAATTGGTGGATTTAATGGTGCAAGGAGAGAATTGAAAACCTGATTTCTTGCTTCGTGTTTATTGTTTTGTTTGTTATCAAAAAAAGAAGTTATGTCTTCTTTATCATTATGCAGATTGTTGGTGGACGTCAGTGGTAAGGTCTTACTTCTTAACTATCCATCTGTTTAGACTGCAATCTTCTCTGTGTGCCTTTGTGCCTGTCATGAATTTGGAAAAGTTTCATAGAGTAATGTGTACTCTTTCAGTTCCCCCATGCCTGGTAGTCACACATAGAAATGAAACAGCCGTCACGTGTTTTCTTTTCTCTTGTCTTTAGGTGGAGGATGTCCTAGAGGATGACCTGAAGGACGCTGTGGACAATTACAACGTGACTGTGTACAAGGAGCAGATTGACTACATGCAGCAGGAGGTGGGATTTCTCACTGAGCTTCACTTTGCTATATTGAAAAGAACATGGAAATTTCCTATCCCTCCCTATGCCCCCCTCCCGTTTTTAGATTTTTGTCTCATGCAGGATGTCGCCTGAAGTGGGAACCACGGCTGTTTTTTTTGTTTGGTTTTTATTTTGTTTTGTTTAATTGGGGGAGATATGGAATAAGATACATTCAATGTGCAGCTCTTATGGCAGGCAGCATTTGAACAATGAATTTGTGAATTCTGAAGGTTGGTTTAGATATGATCACAGACTAAGTTATGTGAAAATGTCTTGAATTGTTTAAAAAAATAATAAAGAGGTTGTTTGGAGAGTGTTCAAAACTCTCTCCCTACATAGCTCAGTCCTTTCAGAGTTAAATATCTTCTCAGTGTGGAGAGGGTTGCTTAACCTGAGATTCATGTAAGTTTTTCCCCGTTCTCAGTTCAAATGCTGCGGAGTGAACAATGCGACTGACTGGCTGAACTCTGCCTACTGGAAGGTCAACCACACGGATACAGTTCCTGCTTCATGTTGCCTTCACCCACTGCCGGCCAATGTTACCACTTGCAATACCAACGTCACCGCACAGTCGCCAGACATTTATTACGAGGTTAGAAAGCTCTGTGAAAATTTGCAGAGTGTTGTTGAAGTCTGCAATTTGCCTGAGACTGGCCAGTTCTAAGTAAATAGAAAGTGTTTTAAAGAGGTCCCTTTGAGGTTTCTAATCCGTGAATCTTATTATAACTTGGTATGTTAACTCCAGAAAAATATATGTGCTGTCTGAAAAAATTACACATCCCTGCTTATATCATCTGATATAGATTTGTATAGCTAGTTTTCTTGAAGGGGGCTTTTTTTTCCCCTCACTGCGAAATTAAATAACTTGGAATAAGATTTGGTAACTAATAGACATATCTTTTCACAATAACTTAACTTTTATGACTGTATGACAGGCTGAAGTCAACTCTTATCATCTTTGCAGTTTCATCCATTTTTTAAATATATGCGTGAGAAAATCCTTTCCCTGTTATTGTGTGCAGTTGAAGTTGTCGGTCGAAGTATCTGAATGCTGCATCATTCACTGTGGGTGTTGTTGGTTGCAATTTATATGTTGAGCTTGTGCTGTTATATGATGACTGATGGTAACTTAGTTTTGTGAATTGTCTTTGAACAGGGCTGTATTGTAAAACTGAAGGATGAATTCAGACTCAACCTCATCTACATTGCTGGTGCAGTGGTCTTCCTGGCCGTTGTTCAGGTTTGTTAATTCTTTTACTTGATTTCCATGTACACAGACCTGCAACTCATCCCGATTTAATCGGGATAGACCCGATTTTTTTTGCCACAAATCTGAAGCATCGCGATTTTGATTGTATGTATCCTGATTTTTTGGGGGTTCTGTCTGTTGTGCTGGATTTTTCTAAAAACTTACTCCATCTTCAATATTTATGGACATCCCTGGAAAATTTTAAAGCCAGCCTGGCAGTCACCCCCGCACTGATTTGTCGTTGATCCTGATTTTTTTTTACCAGATCCCGATTTTTACCCCTTGAGATCCTGATTTTTAGATTTCATGGAGTGGCAGGTCTGTGTACAGTTTAGGTGATGGATTTAGATTTGATCCTTGCGTCAAAAGGAATGTTTATCTTTTGCTCTTTTGAATAGTCCAATATCTGTGCCTCGGATGTCCTAAACTACAGGGTCTCTGACAGCAACTTCTACCTCCTGACTATACTACAGACAATACCCTTTCCTGTAGCAAAGAACAACCGAGGAAGGCCTCGGTTTTTTTTAACAGAACATTGGGCCAAATGCTTACAGCCGCAGCATATGTTTTGCTGAAGTTGCCAAAAGAAATCGAAAAAAGTCCTGTGTTTTTTATACTGAATGAAAGATGAGCAGGTGACAGGGGGATTATTGTTTTGTGTGCTACAGGCAAGATAGTTTACCTGGGTGACAAGTGGATTGGTTGGAAGCTTCCAGAATGCACTTTTCCAAAGATACGAGGCATGAAAGCAGTTTTATTTGTGAAGATGGGCCTGACTGTTTTTGCAGTCTGTTGAATGTGGAGCACTGCTGCTTTTGAACAGGGCATAATTGGCTTCGCAGATGTGGATAGTGTCATGGCTTTATTTAAAATATTCTGAGATTACTATGAAAAGGATTGTTTTTTTCTATCCGTTTTGTTTTATTAAAAAAAATTCTTTCCAGTTTATACATTTTCAATTTATACTTTTTCCTTTGTACCTGTGTCTTTTAGCTTGCACTTTTGTTTTTTTTCTGGTATTACATTCTATTAGTGGCAGTGTTTTTTATCACCTGTTTTAGTCCTGAGAATTTAAAGCATACCTTTGTTATATCTTTACAGTTGTTTTCAAGTTTGTTAGGAAAAAAATCCTATGAAACATCTATCGTCCTTATCTCCCCTTCTTCTTTTTTATGTTTGTTACTCTCTTGTAACACCTCTATTTTTCTGGCGCTCTTATGACCTTATGCAGTTGCGAGCACCGTAAAACCTCTACTAAAACAAAATAATAAAAAAACCTTTATGGAAATATTGTTGTTGTTGAACAAAAGAAAAGTTTGATTCCATGTCTTCAACTTTTCAATCTTTTCCCCCCTTTTCAGCTTCTGGCTTTGATCAGCACTTGCATTTTGGTTTGCCGCACACGGGAACAAAACGCTTACCAGACACTGGGTGAGAGTATTGGAGGAGGGCTGCGTGTGTAAAGAGCGTCCAACGTGTGTGGGAGAGACAGGCGGTGGAGAGGCTTGGAGGCAGTCAGTGTCAGTGTGGCTCGCAGAGTTGTGTGGAGTTGGCTGATGAGGTTGGGACTGGATGGACGACGATTGGAATTTTTATTTATACGAGATACTTTTGGCATTTCGGTGAAATCAGGCGCTTTTCGAAATGACAAAGTCTAAGAAATAACTGCCCGTTTGGCAACATTTTTATTAATTGGGGTGGGGGAAGGGGGTACTCAACGTCTTTGTTACTTTACTATCCATATAAAAACACATTTCTGTGTGGATTTTTACTGAAAACCATCATGAAGTAAGAGCTAAAAAAAAAATGTAATTTTTAACTTTCCAAGGACACTCAAACTTTGGCGAGCCCCACCTCCTCCACCTCCTTGAACGGCAAATGTCTCAACTTGTCTTCAAGATTGGTTGGTTTGGTTTTTTTCATTAAAAACGAAGAGCAAATGAACAGGTTTTTAAGATTATAACAATAACTCTATATTCTAAAAAATAGACTAGTGCCTGATTCCACCGTGTCGTGACATATTTATTCTATGATGGTTTTGAGGGGAAGTTTTTAATGGGTAAAACTATTGTAGATTCATTAAGGTAATTTCGTTTTGTAATGTTGTTAATGCAGTCGTGTGATGAATTGATCTATTGACCTTTCGATATTATCACTGCAAGTCTTGCATTTTCAGGATGCATTCATGTATATTATATATAAAAGAGACAGTTGTTAGTGCTGTAGGCTCAAATTACTGAACTATTTTCTTTAATATTGTAGAGTTTCTTTGTCTATAGATTTGAATTAATGTTGTTCTTGTGAAGTTAAAGCTGACAATGAAAATGTGAGGCATTGTCAGGTGAAATCAGGCGCTTGTCAATATAATGAAAGTGAAGAAACTGGCATTTTTCTGCAAATTTGTAAATTTTAATCAAATTTTTGTTTTTCGGCTCTACACCTTTTATGCCCATTAAAAACGCATTTCAGTGTGGAATTTGGCTGAAAAACATTGATTAAGTGCATGAAAGATGTACATTTTCAGTTACCACGGTCTCTCAAGCTATGGAAATTACTAAACTTTGGCAGCCAGTTTCTCACTAATTTTACCTCTGAAACCAGGCGACCTCACCTCCTTCAATCGCAAATATCTTGACTTGTATCCAAGATAAGTGGGTATTGTTTTCATCCAAAGCAAGGCAAATGGACAGGTTTTAAGATGATACCAATAACTCCATAATTGACGAGCGCCTGTTTCTTCCCCATTGTGACACAAATGGTTTTGAATAATCCCCAGTTTTCTCCCTTTTCTGTAACATTGATCCCAAAACTTGACATATGACATATTTAATTTTTTGGCACAACCCCAATTTCTCCTAGAGATGACTCCTCAATGACTAATGGCTCATATCTCAGAAACATCCCCTGCAAGAAGCAGTGGGTTTTCTTGTACCACCAAACATGTGGCTAATTGCCGTCATGTTTCTCTTTGATCACACCCCCAAACATTGATAAATAGTTATTACATTGATAAATAGTTATTGTGGATTGTTGGGAGACATTTTAAAGCCGTTCACTCCACCTTTTTTTTTTTATGTACCTGATCTTGTGAAAAGCTGGTGTGGGTCAGGCAGTTTGTAAATCACGAGCGATGATTTATTTATTTTTTTTATTTTTTGTTGAAGATCGGTGGTGTCAATTAGATTATTTTATAAAACATTTCGAAAACGTTTTGCTTTAAAGTCTTATAAATGTGGCTCGTTTCAGCAGTGTTTTTTGTTTTTAATCCCAACACAGACTGACAAACATGTGGGGTTTAGATTGTTTCGCTGTAAAATTTTTCATTCAAAGTAGAAGTATTCATTGTATATTTGTCAATCACTTTGTATGACATAGTGATTGCAGATTTTTCTTCGTCACTTTTAATTTATTTCATTTTGACCTTGACCTTTTTTCTTTTATAATAACCTGGACTGTGTAGGGAACAGTTTCTTCATGCCTGGGGGAATGTGGTTTCAACATGTGTATGATGATGTTATGTCTCTTGCTGCCTATGAAACGTCAATTTTCTTTGAAGTTGATTTTGATGTGGGCCGATTTACTTTAATTTTGAGAGAAAGGTTTGAGTAAATTTGGATTAAAAATGATTCTTCTTTGCATCGTCCTTATCCATGAAATTCATGTATGTATGTCTTTTTGGTCATATGACTATTCACACACGCACTTCAATATCTTCTTGTTTTTGTGACAGTATTGACTGTTTTTTTTCTTCTTGAACAAAATGGTACTATATGCAAGTAGCACTGATGTTCTCAGATATACTTTCAACATACAAGGGTGTCACATGCTTTGAAGAACACAGGCATTCTGTCTGCTCTCTGGTGTGTGTGGGGTTTTTTTCCCCACGAATGGCAAGTCAAGTTTATGGGTGTCTTCCTTTTATTTCATTAATTTTTTTTTTTTAATTTCGAGAGAGAAGTTTAATGGCATCAGTAATCTAGCTGCTATTTAAAAAAACAAAAAACCTGACTGGTTCAGCAGGTTTGATGGTGTAATATTAGTACTATCCTAAACTGTCTTGTCTTTGTGGCTTTTCTAAATGGACTTGATATTGGTGTGGTTTATTTGAGTCCTGGCCATTCTATGCACACAATGTGATGTTAGTCCTGTCTGCTGGCATTTTAATTTTTGTAATTTCTTCATCATGTGTTTTGATTAATTAAGCAATGCAAGCAGGCTTCTCAGAGCAAATATGGATTGCACTTGTCCTTTCATGCTGCGGTTTCGGCAATATTGTTTTGTGTGTTTTCAGTGTTTGTCTGTCTTATGCAGTTGTGAGGGCTGTAAAAACTCGACACAAACTACTAAAAAGATTGTCTGTAGACTCTATGTTTATAGTTCATGCTTAATTACGAGATGACTCCTGCTTTGTTTTTTTGTTGTAAGTTGAACAGTAACCAAAAAATCTTGCAGATCAAAGTTTCATGTGTTATTTTACTTTGGGCTTTAAATTGTCGTATAAAAAAAGTGATTAAATCTTTGAGACCTTGTTTTTGCTGTAAGTAAACATGAAAAAGCCCAGGAGTATCATTTGTTCAGCCAGTTGTTCGATGGCAGATATGATATCTTTTTTGTCTTGGGTCTTCTTAATCATATCAAGCTGAGATGGTCTGTGTCTTGAGGAACATCTGGCTCGGCTGCTCCGAAAAACATTTTCAGAGCGAGAACTTGGGTATCAGTACTGTCTTGTTTTTTTGGTTTGGTATTTGCTCTCTTTTTGTGGGATTTGTATATATATATATCTCTACATATTTCTTATGAGTTTTATGGTATCTCTACTTGAGGTAGTGCGATGCTATGTTCTGTACTTTGAGTGGGTATTTTTTGTGTTGTGTTAAGTCGTAATGCTTTTGGGTATTAGATGCTTGTCAGAGGCTAAACAGACATCAGTTTCAAATGTTTCCAGTGATTTGAAAGACGTTGTCCTCGGACTCTGGAGAGGCAAATGAAAGATTTTAGCCAAATAAGCGGTTCTACTCTTATGAAGCTGGTGAATTGTATGGTTTCTCTGTCTGTGTTTTTGAATGACGGATACAGGTTTTCTGTTTCAGATGACCTTTGACTTGATGTGTGCATGCCCTGGATGGTCTGTGAAGTTGCTTTAAAAAAATTCTTTTTCTCTTTGAAAAGATTTCTGTACAGTATACCAATTTTCTGCAGCCTTTCTTGACACTTACCCTAAGGCATATGCGCATACATACAAACACCAACACACCGGCACACTCACCTCTGTAAACTGTAAACTGGCTGTAAAATGATATTATCTTGCAAATGAGTGTGTTAGTTCCTGTAGTGTTAAGTATGCTCCCTGTAAAATGTGACCCAGTTTAGGGTCATGTTTGGTTAATATTGCTGGCTTTTCCATGAGTTGGCCTACTTGGGAGGCATACATGTTTTTGCTCATATAATACCGACAGTTATATATCTCTGGCATACTTTATGTTTACTCAGTAAGATTGAAGCAAACTGAAGATTTAATTTGGAAAATAGACTACATTGCAATAATGCGACGGTGAAGGTGATCCGTTTTGGTTACCTGGCGCAGGTCTGCACCACGGCCAAGAAGTGGGTTGCAGTCACTCTCCTGGCGGGCTGACTAGATGGGGTATCTTGTACAGCTGGCTGTGTGACTGCAACGTGTTCAATAAGGAATTTTTGGAAGAGGTATACAGTACCCTATGATATAAATTGTGCTGATGAGGGCGTTAAACATTGTTAAAAAAGTATAATGATGAATAGAATACTGTCTATGACAATCGTAAATACACTGATATTTGTACTGTGTGAGTTTATAAGTCACAGCAAGGATGCCGTTTGTTCTGTTTCTTTTTCTTCTTTTTTTTGCTGTTATCTTCTCTAGAAGTGCAGTCATCATTCTTAGAATTTATTGTATGTTAAACCCCATATTTGTTGTTTCTGTTAGCTGTCTTTTTGTGTGCAAAAGTTTGTAAATGTTGAGGTATGTTCACAGCACTCCAGTGGCATCCTTATTATACTTGTCTGTTGTAGGAGGCACGGGTCATGAAGCTTTCAGAGATCTGAGAACAAAAACTAAAGTATTTTGTACAATATTATAAATGGCTGTGAAAGCTTTTTGCCGCGGGCTGAGATTATGTGCAGGCACGCCCCCCTCCACTCTCCCCACCCTGGACAAGACTAAATAAATGCTGTTCTTGTGATTATTGCTGTCTTGTGGTGGTGCGTGTTTGTGCTATTGAATTTCTTCTCCGTTTGATCATACCACTCTGTACTCATGCACGAATCACCTCAGTGGTCTGACCAGATGTGTAATAGAGTGACACTGGTTTGTCTTTACTCTTTTATCGAGTGCAATATTGAATTTGAAACTCATTGTGATTTGGTGTACTCTCTTAAGAGTTGTAGGCTTGTCATTTGATGAACACAATTTAATTGGTAGTAGTAGTAGTAGTAGTGGTAGTCATAGTGCTTTCAGTTTTCGCTTCAGAAATGTTTTGGTTCAATTTCATTAGCTTAATTTATTTAATATGTGTGAATTCTTTCCTTTTCATTTCAATATGAATATTTCTATGCCAGGTGTTTAGATTTTTAGGTTTGAGCTTTACCGTTGGTTTTCAGCGACCAAGCCAAACCCGATGGTATATATGTGACCTTTCAAGTCCTTATGTCTAACTTATTGCTAATTTTCCAAATAGACTTCTTTCTATTTTTTAAATCTACATAGTCCAATGTTTAGATGGTAAATTCTGGTGCAGATGTTTTGAAAAGACAGAGAGCATGTTGAACTCT